TTAAGGGGCTTAACCAATCTTTCTAACCTCTGTAGCAAAGCCAGTTCCTTAAGTGATACAAAATACTTATTGCTTTCTCTGCACTCCTACAGAGGTTCTTAAATTTTATATATGTTTATTTTAATCAAATGTCATTCCAAATGTTATTTTCTGCCTGCATAAATCACTATGTAGCTAGACAGTGCTGTGTCCCCAGTTCTTCCGAGTCCCGTAGTTACATAGTTTGCTATGGCTGAAGTTCTACCCTTAACATTAAGGTCAGTTATGGAAATATCTATTTACATTTTTACATATTATCAGTGATAGTCCTTTATCCATTAATACTGCTTCAAAATCAACAATCATATTGTACACTGTATATAACTATACAATGCTTTTGGCCAAATCCTAAAGAAGTAAAATATAACTGCTACTGGATTTTTAATTTAAGAGATTTCATTGAGCACTGAAGTCTGGTACGATCTTCTGTGTTTTGGCACATGATGATTTATGGCACAAATTACGATAGGAAGTGAGTCGCCTGAGGCATAGCCAAGCTGTGTAAGAATGTGAGATTGGGCACCAGTTAAACTGATTTTCAAAAACATAACTGTCTATTTATTAACCATACAAGTAAGGACAATTACACATGCCATATTTTAGTATAATGCTAAAAATATTAATATATAAGACTAGATAAAATGTGAATAACAAAGGAGTTGGATTTTTGATTACCTATAAAATCCTTTTCTTTGAGTGCACCATGGGACACAGAGCTTCTTCAAATTCATAATGATAGAGTTATGCCTTTATGTGATTGAGAACTGTCAAAAAAAGCAGAGGCAGGAAATAGTTCACTGTGTCCTGTGATTTATTCAAAGAAAAGGATTTTACAGATAAGCAAAAATCTAACTTTTTTGTTCATACATCCCAGGATACAGAACATCTTCAAATGCTTAGAGATGTCCTAAAGCAATGACATGAGGGAAGGGCACACAGGAACCAACTACCAACCACCAACCCCAACAAAGTAACAACCTCACACAGCCGCCTGCAAGATATGCCAACCGAAAGAAGCATCTTCAGCAGAATGAGCATCCACTTGATAAAACATAGTAAATGTATGAATGTAGCAGATTTACAAACCTGAGCTACTGGAGCCTGATGTTTAATAGCCCAGGAAGTCCCGAGACCCCTAGTAGAATGGTCTTTCCCCTGAGACTTATTAATCTTCTCCTTCAAGACCTTTCAGTCCATGACACATCGCATACCCTTAATTCTAATGTACGAGACTATACATATTTCTCAGCACCCCATAACTGACACTTTAGACTGGATCACTTTTTTTTTTATCCCGTCGGATCTCTGCTTTCTCACAAATTTCCTTTAAATATCATGCCTGGGGGGGTCCCCTTAACCTCCCTGGCGGTAATTCCGAGTGTAGCTCTGGGTTAACTTTCAGTACCAAAAGCGGTAACCCCGAGCTACACTCGGGACTACCCTGCAGCGTTGCTCAGGGATTCCCTCGATCACTTACCTTGTCCTTCGCCCCCCGCAATGTCCCCTCTGCAGCATCCCTGGCCATCTCCTCCGGCCGATGCCAGCATCCATCTTCTGGGTTCCGTTACCTGCGAGCGTCGGGACATACGGGGGATGGAACCGGCGGGAAATTAAAAAATTTTAAAAGTGACATTCACTCAATACACTAAAATCACATAGTAAAACATTACTGTATCAAACCATTTCACATACATTTTGTCCCTAGTGCTTTGTCCAGTGCCCTCCCTGCATTTTTAATGTTCTTTCTCCCTGGAAACTGAGAAACGTCCATGGCGTCCAAAAAGCGTCCCTTTAGGTCAAAAGCGGTTTTAGACCAGCTAGAGAACAGCAATAGTAAATTAGAGCCACTTGCAGAATTGAGTGATAATGATTCATGGGGAAATTTGTCAGACACTGAAAACGATTTTGCGACTGAGCTCAGCGATGTGCAAACTTGGCGCTCTATTTCAAATTTCAGTGTTTTTGGTTTGATTACATTATTGAATTAAATTTATTATTATTGTATTATTTTTTATGATAATTTATTTATATTATAATTTATGATTTCGTATTTCAAATTTTATCATACCCGGGATGTTTACTAGACTCTTGTTCGGACAGATTTCAGTGAGTTATTCCTAAAAATTACAGGCCTACAATAAAAAAACAACATATTTTCATGCAAAAAAAGTACCGCTTTGAGCACAGAAATACTGACATAATCAGACCGCTAGGGAGGTTAAACTACCTGCAAAGTTGCAAATCTGTACAATGTATAGAACCTGCTGCAGCAGGACTGACTTTTTTTTTTTTAATTACATTTTTTTTTTAAAAAAATAGTGTGGGGTCCCCCCCCTAATCCATACCAGACACTTTAGGTCTGGTAGGAAGGTTTAGGAGGGTTCCTACAGTACATGCATGGGGGTTCTCGCTAGAAGCCATACCAGGCCTTTTAGGCCTAGCAGGACTTTTAAGGGACACCCTACCTCCCAAAAATCGGAGGAAACCTGTGTGAGGTTCCCCCTAAAAGCCATAGCAAGCCCTTTAGGCCTGGTAGAACCCCACCCCAACTAAATGAGGGGGAAATTGTGGTAAACAATTTCAAGCCATTATTGATTAAAGAAATAGGCCTATAATTAGCCACATCACTTGGGTCTTTGTGAGGCTTTTGGAGTAGTTTGTCAAAGGAGTGGCCAATAGTTGTGCACATTTTTTGTAGTATAGTGCACTAAAGCCATAAGGGCCAGAAGCCTTACCCACTGGGGCCTGTTTGATGGCCAACAGGACTTCAGGAACTGTAATAGGCTGTCCCATAAGTTCCCTGTGTTTCATTATCAAGGCCAGAATGGGGAGACTGGCTGTGAAGTCATCAAAGTACTGTGGTCTAGACATGTTCTAAAAAAGTGTTATGGAGTTAGAAAATTCTAAATCCATAACACTAGTTTTGGATTTTGCAGAGCCGTAAACGTTCCTAATCTTAGGGATACGAGACACCAGCAATTTGCCAGGCTTGTCAGCTTAGGAGTACAATTTGGCTTTAGACCATCGTAGATTCTTTTCAGCCCTTGTTGTGAGACAAACATTTAGTTCAAGCTGGGCTGCCTCCATCTAGCTGCATAAGTCAATTCGGGGATCCTGTTTATGAGCCTTAAGCAAGTCATGTAAGACCCTTTCTTTTTGTTTAAGAGTTGATTCCTAGAACTTCTTATATCTGGCGGCTATTTAAATCAGAGTGACACGCACTGTGAGTGGGATCATTTACAGAAAAATATTCCTTCAATTGAAGTTCTATATCAGTGGTCTACAAACTGTGGCCCTAGGACCGGATGTGGCTCTTTGCTTGCCTTTATCTGGCCCTTGGGGCACTATTCCTTACACTGATAAGACACACTATTCTGCTAACTGATAACAACAGAATAGGTTGCCATTTCTCTCATGGACACCAATAATGGGACAGTATTCCTCCCAACGATACCAGTGATTGGGCACTAATACTCCCCCCTAATACTGAATATGACGATGTTTACTCCCACTGATGCCAGGAAAATATCCACTCCTGCTGGCCACAGTCCGCCCCCCTAAAGTCTGAAGGACAATAAACTGGCCCTTTGTATAGAAAGTTTGGAGACTCCTGTTCTATATCAAGGCAGGTGGCTGGATTGCTGAGGAGAGATTCATTGAGGCGCCAGGAATAGGAAGATGTTGGGCCATGGAGTGAAGAAATGGAAACTAGAACAGGAGAGTGGTCCGACCAAGCCGTCTCTGAATTCAAGTCTGTGGAAAATGCGTGTTGCCTGGCTGTACAGGACTATAGTGGAACTCAAATTTTCAGCAACTCCTACGGGGGTAGTGCTACACAAAGTTGTTGTGCTAGGCATGAGGGCAAAAATCCAGACAGCTTGCTTAATGGTAAACTAAACCTTTAACTATTTATTTTAATGTTTGCAGATTCAAGGAAAATTGCACCACTCTAACATCCAAGCACTCGTCTCATATGCTGGAATTAGGAGCTGACTTGGAATCTGTCACTCTTTCACAGCTGGCTTAGTAAAATCCAAAATAAAGGCTGCACGTTGATGATGTCTTCACAGGCAAAACTTTACTCAGCCAAAAGGCACATGGTCCTTAGTCCCTCAGATATGTTTCACCTAATGGGCTTAATCGTAGAAGATATGAGAGGAATTAAGACCTCTATGATGTGCTCAAGTTTGTTTCCTGATTAAAGTTTTTCCTGTGAAAACATCATTAATGCAGGGCTTTTCTTTGGGGATTATGCTGAGCTAATTCATTTTTAACATTTTAACAAGTGTATGTTCTGTATAGCCTTAAATGTTTATTATAGTTCTGGTTAGAGTAGGAAAGGGTTAAAACTCCTTTCTGGGTACTTCTGGGTACTTTTTCTCTTTATACTATTGGGAAAATTTCTGTTTACCGCCTGCCCCAGAGATGCAACAAGACATTAGATTAAATCTCCCAAAGGAGGTGGGAATTTCCCTTTTAGACAGTAGTCCTCAAGGGAGGAGTAGGCCTTGGAAGATGTTGCCTTGCCTCTTTTTTTCTGTGGACAACTCTATAATGTTTCTCAATTTTTTTTTATCCCCGTGGCAATGATCATTAGTACAAATAGGGTGAATCTCACAAATGGGTACACAGGCAGCAATAATACCTGACATAAGGTCTAATCCCTTCCTCCCTATCTAAATCTTAAAAAAAAAAAATTGTATTTTCTAGAGATATTCTTTAAGTACACCTATAGTGTTAATTGTTTTGTCATGTTGTGTTGTCAGTCTCTTAGTTTCTGCAAACCAAAGCAAAATGGGGTTTCCTTTCTATGTGGCCATGGCAAGATGGAGTGTTGGTGGGTGTTCTGATATTATAAATGTGCAGCTTACAGTATAATCTGTCAAGTACATACCATATACAATTAAAAAGTTTATTTGGATTTTTGTCTGAATGTAATTCAATTTTCATATTTATTTTAGGCAGAAGAGGAATTTCAAAAGGCACAAAAGGTATTTGAAGATTTTAATACAGACTTACAAGAGGAACTTCCTTCACTATGGTCCAGGTACTGGGCAACATTACTGGAATAAACCTACTTGGACAGGGCAATATATCTAGCAATATCATGATATGTGATTATTACACTACTTAATATGAATGGAGGCTCAATGTTCAAGCAATATTCCTAAATTACAAGTGATTTTTTGTTGGCTGTTCATAGAAGTTAATGAGTGAAGGGTGTGATACTGACAACGTTGACTTGCCTATGCCAGCAGACAGTGAGGCATTATTCAATATGCTGGTACCACAACACAGTAGCACAGTTAAAAGGATTGAAAAATTAATTGACAATGGAGCATATTTAAGGATTTGCTGATTCATAAGTTAAAGCGGAGTTCCACTTGACCTATCAAAAAATAAAAGTCAGTAGCTACAAAAACTGTAGCTCCTGACTTTTAAAAAACAGCCACTTACCTGTCCCTCGGTCCCGTGCTGTGTCCCCTGCACCCCGTTTCACCGGCTGTCCTGTATTTCAGGAGGCCAGCATCTTCAGCTTGCAGCTTCACAGCTGGGTACCCACTGTGCATGCGCGAGTAGTGCTGCACTTCATGAATGGTCCTGTAGTCTTCTGGGATCTGTCATGTGTCCCAAAAGACTATAGGGAGGACACCTTCCACTTCAGATCGCCTAGGCGATCCGACCGGAAGTGGGAGCGGGTACCTGTCAAATTTGGGTACCCGCTCCTCCACGCTCCCCAAAGGTGCCAATCCCTAATAGGGAGCGGGGCAGCAGTCCTTAAAGCGGAACTTCCCCTTTTGGGTGGGAGCTCCACTTTAATATATTAACATAGTAGCATTCATTGTATTTGTAAAGTGCTTTTGCCAACATATTTGCTGTAAAAAAAAAATTACTATATATGTTTTTCAGTGGAAAAAGTGATTACTGTAAGGTTCGACCTACAATGCGATATTTATATTAGGAAAAATCCTGCACCTTCTCAGGACTTATGCTGAGATAGTGAATTATTGCATCTTACGTTGAAAATGCCATAATTGCTCATTAAGAGTGTTGAACCTGTATTCTTATATGGTTCATTTCTTTATTATTAAATAATTTTACTTTTTACACTTTAAAAAATACAATGTCCCACATTGTGGAGTTCAAAAAAAGAGGGCCCCTCCCAAAGCACTGGCATTCAATGCTGATATGTTTTGGTCTGTTCAGCGTCACTATTGCCAAGAGGTGTTTAAGCAAAGACAAGCTTGTAGGCAACCTTCATGCTCCCTGTATTTGAAAAAATACCAGAATTAAATGAACAGCATAGCATACCCACAGTGCTCCTTGTGCCCTAAAAGTGTTATGCTGCATGTAAAGCCATTTTAGCCAAAAATTTTACTTTTCCTACCTGTTTTGTCAACCACTGTAAACCACAGTGTAAATCAAACACGTCTAAATATTTGTTATATTAAATATGTAAAGCTTTAAATGTACAAACTTCTTCACACACATTCTTCTCACAGTGATCTGGCTAGGGGTGCATAGAACCCATAACATCAATTCAAGGGAAGGGGGTGGCAACCTTCTTGCCTTTTTGTGGGGGAGGGAGTCAGGGTGGTGGCACATATGTCTCTTCTTGCTTCCACCCTTACCTGGGAACTGAGTATACCGTAGAGCTTTGGTCTATGAGTATTAGAGCCAGTGCATTGGAAGTGTACTCGTTTTTGAGGACCCTTTTAGAAGCATCCGTGATTCTGAAAGGTTGGAGAGCTAATAATCATTATGACAATGGTCTATACTTTAACTGTCCTGGCCTGGGTATACCAGCCCTAAATGTCTGGTACCTTGGCTGGTGTAGCCCTAGGGGGGCAGGAAGCTCAGAAACAATGTTAAAACATGTGTCAGCATAATGGATAGCTCCAGCCTGATGACTTTATACTTAATTTGGCAACCTTCACCAGCTACCACATTTGCTTGACACATATTTGCCATATTTTAAATATGACAACTGTTTCTTACAAATATTTCAGCAAATGTCAGTGAATAATCACCTTATGAATGTACTATAAAAATGCCCACCATCTAATGTGTAGGTGAATGTTTTATCAGTATGCCCATTATGCATTCAATCTTATTTCTGTTTACTGAAATCAGGTGACTGCTGGATTTACACTACTGTGTATGTGCATTAGGGCACTGCAGTGCACTGATTCTGTATGGCAGCCCAAATGCACTGCCACATACAGTAACACACTGCTATACGTTGTAGCATACTGAGTAGTTGTGAATGCACTTTTCTTTGTATGTTCTGGTACATTAGGCAACCAGTTTAAATGAATAACTACCCTAAAGCAACATGTGTTAATGTGCAACATAACATGCATGAATGCATCGCACAGTCCCCCGCTATGTACCTATTTACAGAGAGAGACGGTATTTGGGTGTCTCATATTGCTAAATGGGGCTTCCAGATTCCAATAAGCTCCTGACTTTCAGACCCCCACAAATACTAGGCCAGGACTGTCAGGAAGAGGATTGTTTTTATCAACATGGGGACAAAGTGCTTTGTCAAGACGGTTCCCCTGGCAAGGTATCCCCCCATTTTGAGAGCATGTGGCCTGGTATGGCATGTGACCAAGATGGCAAGGTAGCCAGGCAGACTGCATGCTCAGATAAGATGGTATGAATTATGGGGTATACTACACATTATACGGGGTATATATACACATTATGAGAAATGTGATCAATATTATATATAATATGACAGTCTCACAAAATATACTGTAAACTTTTTTTTTTTCTCTATTTTATTCCTGTTGATAACCAGGCGAATTGGTTTCTATGTGAACACGTTTAAAAACATATCAGGACTGGAGGCAAAGTTTCACAAGGAAATCACAGGGGTGAGTAATATTTTGTTGAAATATCCTAAGATTAAATACATCTGTTTAAAATGTAAATCCTTGTCATAATAACTACAACTTGTGTAATAATTTGATCTGTTGTAGTAGCTTGTGATTTTGTTTCATTGGTTTTAGAAAACATGAGAAATAAAAACACCAATATGTTGAGAGGACCTGTGTAGAGTTTTTATGCTGGAAAATAAAGTAAACATATATTACTTGTTTTTTACTTTTTGAAAAGATAAAAAGATTTTATTTCTTTGAATTGTATGTACACAGCCAGAAAGGCAATAGAAATTGCTCAAAGCTATACATTTTTATCGGCCAAACAAAATTATAAAAAACGCCAAGGTTTTTTGAAACACTAAACAGACAGCAGATAACCAAAGCATGTTATACAGATAAAATGTAAATTGCATAATAAACGATGGCATGTAAATAAGTTAAACTACAAATTGACAAGATTACAATGAGAAAAGCCTGACCATGAAGTGTTACTACAAAGCAGTTATTTTACATAAGGCCATAAATTATATCCCCAATGTAAAACTCATTGTCATGGATTGAACATTTTGAGGTTTGTATTCCCAGATTTCCCTCTCTCATTCAGTAATGAAATTAAAGGATAAGTTCACCTTATATATACAGTGTATATTAAATAGAATAAAATAAATGTACATCTTTTTGCACATAAAAAAATGTGCATGTATTATTTTTTTTACACTGGAACCTGTAAAGTATTGTACCTACTAGCAGCAGATTGTGGGTGCAATGCCAGTCTCCTGCAGATTTTCAGTACACTGTATGCTCGTACTTTGTACAGGCAGGCAGTTACTGAATTGCAGGAAGAATCAATGAACAAGAGTGCACACCAGTGCGGTGGCTGATGGTAGTTGTAGTTCATTCATTCATTCACAGAACTATGTGGATGAATGATACAGCCATGTGGGCAGAGCCCTACGCGGTCTCTTTGTTTTCAAACTGTGACAGTGGGTGCAGGGAGAAGATCCCCTGCCTGCTGTCATAGGGAGAGGGGGTAAGGGGGAGAGGAGGCAGGAACTGGAACATGTTGCATGTTCTACCATAAATACAGGTAGAACATGTAAAATGTTCCAAAGGTGAACTTAGCCTTTACCTTTTAGCACTTTGATTGTATTCTTTACTGTGCCCTGGTATGCAAAAGGACTCTCCTACCCGAACGCCACTTTTTTTTATTTTAAAATGGTGATGGATCAATCTTTTAGACATTTGCGTTTTCATTTTTCTATATAAGTTCCTCTAGAGGGGAATTTTGTGCACAGTATCATAAACGCAACATTTGAAAATAAAAAAGAGAATTTGTGGTAGTGCCTTTTTGAGTTGGATATTTTGGTATCTTATGCAAAATCGAACCATTCCCGTTTTAAAATAAATTTAAATAATTGTGACACTCTAGTAGGTACCAGTCTTCGTTTCTTAAATTCTTTATGAGAATGTTTTTGCCCTCCTTTGGATCGGCTTTGGGTTTAGGGAGCTGAGGATACAAGATGGATATTTTCTTCAACTTGATAGTCATGTGTTCTTTTTTTTCCAACCTTATCGTGTTGCATACAAAGATTAGGATGTCTGACTTTTCTAGGCTGCAAACAGCCTAAACCAGCCAGGGTCAAAGCTGACTGATTTAAATGGCAAGCCCTGATTCTAAATGTGCATATTATGGGGATAACAAAGAAAGCAGTCATGTGGAAACTACATGCACCAGTATGATCTCATATGACTGTACCAGCTATTCAGTACTTGGACTTATCTTGTTGCAGCACATCAAGGACTTGTTCACACTAGCATCCTTGCCATACAAAGCCCCAATGTAAGAATAAGGCAATTTACCTTATGTTCTGTGGTTGCAGTTCACAACCACATACTGCTCTGTTTTGCACAGAAAAAAAACAAGATTGCATTTTTGTATGGCATGTTCCAGCACATAGTATTAGTATACAGTAGAGGTTAAAAAATACACTAAAATTGCCAATTCTTCGGCTCAATAACTGATGTATTTATTCGCACCTTAGAAAAACAGGACTGTTTCTAAACAATATTTTTTTGCAGTTTTATTTATTATAATATTTATCATTTGTGACTATTTATCTTTATCGCAAATTACTCTGTCTAGAGTTATAGTGTTTAGCTTGGAAACAGTAGAATTTCTTTTGCCTTGTAACTCTGTCTACAAGCATGAAAGTCATTGCAGGATTGTTCGGATTTATTTGCAAACTGCCAAATTTAACATCTCCTACTCCTGTACATTCTGAAGGTTTATGAAAATATTGAGAAAAATATTTCTCCCTGGAGAACGATTTGCTCCATTTTGAAATAGCTGCCTGTGTTACTTGCTTATTTATTGAGGAGCTGGCATTTTGGCATTGCTTTAAAATCTGTTCCTTATTCAAACACATGCATTATAGTGAGTAGAAATGCTGCATATTTATTGCTTAACTTAGTTCAAGCCTCCCAGCTGTGCCATATTTAAATAGTGCATGTATAAGAAAAATAAACGCTGCATTATTTTTACTGTTTTACTCAGCTGAGCTTCCTAGAACAAATAGTGGCTACACTTCATTTGGAGTGAATTATGATCATACTAGGGCAAGAAAATAAAAACAAACACACCGAATGAAAAATGAAAAGACTTCAGTCTTAAATCAACAGAATTGCTCAAACTACACATTTTGCTCTAGGGGTATAAAAAAAGACCACGAGGGAGTGGTCAAGACTGCATTTGTCTTCTCATTGACTGCATCATCAAACAGCAATACCAAAGCGTAATCTCCAATGTTTTTGCTTTTTTTTCTTAATCAAAATAATCATATAAACAGGGAAACAATACTATACCATTTTTTGGGTAAGAAAATTCATGCAGTGGTCATAGAGTATACAATACTGTACCTCTAAGGGTGCAATATATGCATAAAAATGATCATTAGTTCATTGTATTCATATTGTAGTAAATTACAAGCCACATTCTAAATAGGAAACAAATTAAAGTGATATTTGAAGTCATTTATGATGGGGAGTGGGCAAGGGTTAGAATGTTTAATTTTTTTTATTTTGTCTGTGTCCCCATTAGGGAGATTCACCCCATCTCTAAATGTCCTAAAACTTAAAAATGAGGGAAAATACAATTTTCAATTTTCAGCAAAATGACAGCTCATTCTCAGTGTACGGTTATTTGAAGGTGTATTTTCTCTCTTTGTTGATAGCTGTGTCACAAACTGTTTGAAGTTATGAGCAAATTAGGAGAGCAGCATGCTGATAAAGCGTTTACTATTCAAGGAGCACCGAGGTAGGTACTTTTTAAAAATGTTGATTACAGTTTAAATTGAAATACTAAGTTGTATGAAAATGATTCATTATACTGTACATCCAATTTAAGGCCGGACATAGACATAGACATAGTTTGAATCTCAGCCGGTTCAGCAGGAATAGGCCAAGATTAAAACCGTGTATGGGCAAGCTGAATGTATCCACGTTGATTGATCGATCGACTTGGGTACAACCAGCCTGCCAGATTTTGCATGCATTTTTCTGTTCTCCTGGCGGGAACAGTTCCCCCCCACTCCCATCGCCAGGTGAACACAATGGCTTGGTGGGAGGGATTCCACTTGGTTGCAGGAGAGAAATTCACTCCATCTATGGCCTGCTTAAGTCCCGAATTAGAATTCAAATTGCAGTCTGGTTAATGTGTTAAGAACAAAATTAAATTCATAAATGATTCACAAACAATTACTTTAAAAAACATTCACACAATTGATTTTAATATTTAATATTGCATGTATTTCTATGGCTCCAACAGTAAGATTCTTTTGCTGGAGTTTCTGGACCCCTCCCTCAGCACGTAAAACTCAGACATTTTGTAAAATGTAGAAATCCTTGCTTATGTATTTAGGTTCCCATTGTAGTTACAATCCTATTTAAGGACATTGCATTCTACCCAAAGTTGATTTCATTGGTTTAGATTCTGACATAATATTTATAATACTTTTATCAAATCATTACATGGATTATGATTATTGCAAAAATATAAACAGATGAACATGGATGACAAACAGTCAACATCTGACAAAACAACTTCAAGCAGGCTGAAATATAACAAGATGGAATATTTTGGACTATTTCTGCCATTGTTTTGGGGCTTGTTCAGAACCAAAGTATCTCAAAGTACAGTAATAACCTGGAAACTAACATAAACCATGTAAGAATCATGGAGGTTGACATTGCTAAACTCTCCTTTGAAGAATGCTAGTTCCCAGGCTGTCAAGCTCTGGCTTCAGTGCTTTCTGAGTTGCTTACCCAGATCGAGGGAATTCTGAAACTTTTTAAACATCTGTTTAAAGCATATTTGTGCTAGGTCTGATTAGTCAGGCATAGCCAGGCAAATAGCATTTCCTTCAGGAGGGCAGTAACAGCCTTGTGATAGTGTCACTTTCAAGTAAATTGCTTTGATGCAGAGTTTACTGGATAGCATTAGCAATTCACTGATTGGTTTCACTTCTTGCCTGGAATTGCTGGTTAACACAAAATAATTTTGTTTCTTTAATGTTGCAACAGAAAACGATGGTGAGTGGATTGCCATACCTGCGTAAAAGCATTGTTTAGCTGTGCTTTTAATGTATGATTGAATAACAAATTCTCAATCATGCAATTTAAAACATGTAGTCAAGTGTGGTGCTCGGTAGTAGCTGAGACTTAGTGTCAGAGTGTTATTTTACCTTGGGGAAATAAATGTAGTTCCTAGTATGTTGTAAATTCGACAGAGGACCCTTAGTAATTTGAGAAAAAATAGTTGCTAGCCTCCAGGTTTTGCTGCCCTTTTTTTATGCTACTACAACCTGCCTGCTAATAGAATGTATCATTGCTGCTGAGATAAGATTATAAAACTTAAGTAGTGAATAGAGAACAGCCGTGTAATGCAAAGTATGAATTGTAAGTGCAAATCTAGATGATGTTGTTTAATATCTGTTTGCAACACTACAGCTTTTCAGTATGATGAATGTAAAACATTAAGATCAGAAATTGTGCATTGACCTATCACAATTGTTTTTTGTTTCTTTTGAATATGGTACCATAACTAAGCTGATACACCTCTGACCAATGCTACTTTTTACCTACTTTTTATGTTTTAGTGATTCTGGACCCCTTCGCATTGCAAAGACTCCATCACCACCTGAAGAAGTTACACAGATCCCCAGTCCATTAGCAAGCCCAAACCATACATTAGCACCTGTGTCATCTCCTGCGCCTGCAAGGCCTAAATCTCCATCACAGGTGCGTTAGAGGGGAACGTAACTGTATCTGAGCACCACAATTTGAAAACGCTATTCAATTCATTTTTAGTATTCAAAGCAAACTCATGCATCCTTCCATGTCTTGAGTAAGGGCAGGTGATTCATGTAGCATTAACTTAATGGAATCTATCTGCCCTTAGCTCAGGCTTGCAGGCAAGAGGGTGGGCCTAGGTTAGAAAGTCCCTCCTGTAGATGAAAAATAAAACATGCCCATCAAGACTCATGGAATGCATGACTTCATTTTGGCCTAGGCAAGAAATCAAGAAGCAGCTGAAGAAATGTAAAAAAAATTAAAACAAGTAAATATAATATATCTTCCTATCAATTTACTAATGCTAGAAGCATAAGGATTAAATATATTTGATATTGATCAAGAGAGTTCAGTTCTGCTTTAACTGGTGTCCAATATATATTAATTTATAGGTTCTATCTGCATGAGAAATAGGTAGTGATCATTGATGTGTAGAATTCTATTATATGTGAGGAAGCTCATTAATCATTTTTGACTGCTGTCAGATGCTATACTTCAGCATATGGAAGAGCTAACTGAATGCTAGATAACAAATCTTTAATTGACAGAAAATACAAAATACACAGCAATATGTAAATTTTTTTTTTTAATTCATTTATGCAGTCAAATACAATTATGCACATAAAGGTATTGATTTATTACAGGTTTCAAGTAAGCCAGCACAAAATAAAAAAGCAATGGGAGGAATAAGGAGATATTTAATTATACACTGTACAAACTGAACTATCTGGATGGTTGTCCATTTGATTCTCCTGCATGCTGTGATTTTTTGCATGGTTAAAGCAAGATATGCTTCTCTTGTATAGACATACTTTATTTTAGGTATTCAAAGGATCTGAGCTACACACTGAATTTTATGCAGTTTATTCTTGGAGTCAATTTGCTAAAGAAATAGACCATGTTTTTATGTAATCAGTGAATATTTTTGCCTCTTTAGTAAATCAAACCCATTTAGTTCTTTGAAAAAGAGAGTTTGCATTTCTTGAAGCAGTAGATTTCAGTGTCAGGACTTTGTTTCTGGTGTCGCTTGATACAGTAAAGATGGTGCTTGGTGCAGAGGATCTAGGCACAGAAGAGGTAAGTATGCAAACAACAAAAGCCTTTCACAAGATGTCTCAATTATTTCACATATCTACATCCCCTGGCCCAATAACACCTTTATATAATAATCCCGATTTCCCTCCAGGTATATGGGTGAAATCTTTCCTAGCAGATGCAGATTCTTCACCTTTATTAGCCATACATTGGATAACTACCCAAAAAAATGTTGCTTTATAACAAATTGCTGAGTAACCTGCACCTTTTCCTATTACACCTTGGATGTATATGCAAATCAACCACTACCTTTCTACTTCTGATAAAAGAAGGGACATGTTTCGGAAACTTACATCCTTTGAATCAGTTTGCCTGCAGGGTTCTCCGCTAAAGAAAATGACCTCACTGACATATTTTTGGCTCCAACAGACAACTGATGGGGTCCCACTGAGATTCAGAGGCCAATGGGAAAGTACCCTTACAGGGTGGGGTATTTTGAGGATTGCAGGGTTTGTTGATGTGAGGGAAGCCATGGAGTACGGCATCATTCCTTGGTTCAGGAGCTCTGTGCTGTAAGCAACCATCAACGCTGAACCTAATTACCAGAATCATTGATAATTCTAATAGAAATTTGTTTTTATATGCACTTTTTCATTATTCCAACTATATTTAATTCCCTCTTTAGTGGATTTATCCAGTAATCAATTCTAAATTTAAAATGAGTCTTCCCTTTTCAAAGACAACCCTTGTCTTAGCATACAGTCTTATTGTTTTAAATATATACAAAGACATCCTTAATATCCAACTGAGGTAAAAAGAACATGCATGATGATTACATGATACATGATTCTCCTCTAATCACTGTTTGAATTTGATCCAAGACATTTGGGTTGGTCTGCTAAAGGCAAATAGGCTGTTCACTTTGCAAGGGAAGTTTTACTTTGCAAGTGGATTTTCCCTAAAGCTTAGTGAATGTGCTGAAATTTAACTTTGCAAAGAATACCCAATCACATGCAAAGAAAGTGTTTGTGCTTGCACATGGTTAGATGATGGGCATTAGCTGAGCTTCACATAATTTACTAAGCACTGGGGAAACTTCCCTTGAAAAGTAAAACTTCATTTGCAAGATGAACGGTCTATTTGCGTTTAGATAATTCAACCCCATTGATCTACACTGATTTAGGTAATATTTACATTTACCCTATTACCTTTCCCAATGATACTACAAAGTGAACAGGTGTCTATATACGTAGAGTCTTACATGTATCTAAATGGAATGCAATCTCAATGGAATGCATGCATGATCAATGCATACATTGAAATTTGTAAATGTAAAAATATAAACGTTACTGCACTTAATTGGGTAGTTTACTACAAATTAGAAGTTTTCGAACCATTACTGGATTCCGTAGTGATATTAATAACCTTGCCTTTTTCTCTAACAAAGATTTCAGAGTTAGATTTGGTGAGTTATATTCCAGTAGATGAATGCTAATTATTTTTCACTTGCAGCTGGCTAGAACTATAGCGCTTCTTTTTTTTCTTTAATTTAAGTGTCTGCAATTGTTTACATTTCCCTGTGCTTCTTAGATGCAATTAAAACTAGAAGATAAATGCAAAGCAAAAATATCATTTATTTTACTGCTTGCTTGGGGACACACTGACTGCACTAAGACTAATCCTTGGGGAAAAAAAAGAAACTTACTTAGAGTGTATGTCAAGCCAAAAACTGTTTTAGACACAGTAGAGAAGGATTAGAACTGGTGTGTGGCTTTTACTGCCTTCCGGGGCTCCTTACTGAGGTCACTGTCACACTTTCAACAAAATAGTGACCATATCGCTGGTGAGAACTCGCCAGAGGAAAGACTGCTTTGGAGGACACAGACAGCAATGAAGACTTGACAAGGGAACAAACTCTTCCCTGCTCTATCCAACCAATAAAAAAATGGTTATACACACACTTTTAGTAAATTTCTTGATACATGATGCTGATTATATTTATATATACATTTTAAGTATTAGTTTATGTTTTACATGTATGCAGTATCCAATATGGGTTGTATCAGTGAACTATGATAGTATATATATCTTTTGCACTGAAATGATTTAGGATATGTGATACCGGTATGCTAACTACTACAGTATATGCCTTAGCACCCATTTTCATGCTTTGCTGTATTATTGTAAAAAATATTACTATTCACTATTTTGCAAAGCTATAGATAGCCTTACTACTTTCACAGTTAAACATGCTTTATAAGCATCCAAATGTGTCACCATTTCGCCATTTAAATAAAAATCCTAGATCTTAGGTGTATTTAGTCACTGAGATTGACACTAGATCTCTGAAGTGTGGCTATTAATATATAGAGATAAAATAATAACATGTACTTTATGCTGCAGAAGCTTCCCTATCTGATTTTGGTTCAGAAAACTGTCAGATGTAACATCTTGCAGGAATATTTTCCAAGGGGAATGTTTTGAAGCTGTCCTTTGTTGGTAGAAAATACAGTAAATAGATTATACACTATTTGGAAGGTAAATTAGTACCATAAGTCTCACAAATGAAATAATGAGTTTTTTTATTGGCAGCTGAGAAAAGGCCCTCCTGTTCCTCCATTACCGAAGCTCACGCCATCAAAAGAACTGCAGCAAGAAAACATTATTAGCTTCTTTGAAGATAATTTTGTCCCTGAGATCAATGTGACAACCCCATCACAGGTTAGTAATGTATATTTATTTGTGCACACGTGTATAAGTCACTCATGAAATAATATTAAGAGGTCTTGCTTTTCCTTTTCAAAGAATATCAAATACAGTATGATTTATGTGTCCATTCTGTCTCTAAATGTTGTACACTGCACCTATTCTACATCCTGAGTGACATTCCCCCATTGAGTCTTATAAGACCTGAAAAAAATCCTTTTACTGCAGAGCTGCCATTTACTTGCATGCAGCTTGTCAGCATTTATGTGGCAAAATGCTGAGTTGCTGTTTTTTATCTGTCTATTTTTTTCTTGTTTATGTTTGTTGTGTGTACTTTATTAATCTGCTTGTGACTGCATTCAAATATTCACACTTTTAGTTTGAATTATTTGTGCCATAAAATAATCTTCTGACGTTTAACAAGGGTCTCCAAACTTTCCAAACGAAGGGCCAGTTTACTGTCCTTTAGATTTTAGGGGGCCAGACTGTGGCTAGTTGGAGTAGGAAATGCCCCAGCATCAGTGCTTTAGGCTTGGGGGTAAGTGGAAGTAAAACAATTACATAGCGCCTGTGGTTAGTAGGAGGAGAAATAGTGCCCCATCATTGGTATTAATAGGAAGAATAGTGCCTCCTCGGTGGTTTCAGTGAAAGAGTGAATGGAATGGTCTCTCATAATTTGTGTTAGTTGAAGGAATAGTGCTACATCGTTGGATTCAGTGGGAGGAATTATGCCTCACTGTTGATGTCAGTGGAAGGAATGATGCTTCATTGTTGGTGTCAGTGAGAGGAATAGTGCCTCATATCAGGGTGAAGAATAGTTCCCCAAGGCCTGGATAAAGGCAAGCAAAGGGCCACAGTTTGGAGACCACTGATATATAACACTCTATTTTTATTAATATGATATACTCTTGTATGTATAAGATGGAGTTTTACTATTTTAAATGTATGATTTCATTTATCCATTTTCTGTTGTGAAGACTCTTCATTTCATTATAGACACTACTACTGCAGATGTGCCCTGCTCAATCTATACAGTCAGACCTATTTTATGTCATTACATTGAATTCTGACAAGAAAACATTGTTATTGATTTTTGTCTTCCAATAATTATTATGAAGCTGTTCACAAAGGAAATCTTTGATTTTTTTAATAGATCGAAGCAACAGAAGAAAAGAAAGTAGAATCATTACTAGACCTGGACTTCGATCCTTTCAAACCAGAGGTTGCATCAGCTGGAATAACACAGTCCCATTCACCCATTTCCCAGGTATGTACTATTGCTCCATTCTTCACATTTTTAAGTAGCACTTGCCAAGCTACAAGTTTCATTCCAATGTTTTGCTGCACAATTGAAAATCTCAGGCTCCAGTGTTCATTTGTCAATGACAAATTTCAAAATGTAAGATGATAATTGCTATTGTACACATGGGGAAATCAGTAATTACCACTTGCAGCTACAGCAGGACACAACCATATCATGCTGCAACACTGCAGGTGCACAGAAGACGTTATATGTGTAAACATTGCGCCCTGCAAAGTGACTTTTTTTTTTGGTGGGGTGAGAACAAGTATTATTGTATGGACATCGTTTTTTTTTAGTTCAGTGGATTTTCATTTTTATGGTTTTGTTGGATAAAATGTCAGATTGGAATACTTCAGTTTAGACAGCTGGACCTTACTCGATATGAACACTTTCCATTACCTTGACAGATTTGATCATGTTAGGATGCCCAGAAAATGCAAATGGCAATTCCTCCAGCATTATCAAGGCTTCTAGATAAAACACAATAATTTATTGTTATAGCATAATGATGAATTATGTAAAAAGTATGCTTTAACTGCTTCCTACTCGGGCTATAGCAGAATGATGGGAGAGTGGGAGCTTTCCCATCCTAGGGGGAAGTCATTTGACTTCTCAGTAGCACACCTCTTGTGTCCACTGGACACAGCAGATGTCAGATCAGATGTCAGATACCAGGCCGACCCCAGTACCATGTGATCACTGCGAACAATCCCAGTGATCACACGACAGTTGTACATAATGAATCGCTTTCATTCATAGCTATTCATTGTGCATTATTGTGATGATCTCTGTGATTGGTCACAGTGATCACATGGTACAAACAGGGCCAATCACAACATATCTGTACCAGAGCTGTGACCAATCAAAGCTCTCACAATAGAACACACTTTGAATGAATGGATGCCATTCATAAAAATGATTGCCTATAACTTTGATCATCACTGTTATGAGCAATTATACTGTTAAAAAAGAAAAAAAATCCTGATCACTTTCCTAGAGTAGCTCAGTGTCATTATGGTAACACTGCTCTGCTCTGGCCTCGGTATATAAAACAATTGTTAAAAAAAAAAAAGTAAACAAAACAAAAAAATGTTGAAAAAAATTTATATAAACATTATAATTTATATATAAATATATTGATATAAATATTTTTTTTTACATAAGGTCACAGGTCAGTATCCCTGATCACTGCCACATCAGTCATATGATGACACTATACTGCTCCGGTGACAGTATGTAAAAAAAAAAAAAAATATTTAATTTCTTCAATTTCCTAAAAGTGTGAGAAAAAATGACAGTTTCAAAAAAGTCACCATGCCTCTTACTAAATACTTTGGACTGCACGAAATAAGATAAGCCATCAGTACATCAGGATTGATCAATTTTCAATTATACAGTATATGCCAAAGTTCGTAGAATATTTAACTTTCACATATACTAAATAATATACATTGATTTGGGTTATTACTACCATAGAAATGTAGAGGAATACATTTTGGCCTACATTTATGAAGATTTATGAACATGTTTTTGTTTTTTTTACTAAATTTTTTGTATTTTTCGCTTATGTAGCAAAAAAACAAGAAAACCCAGTGGTGATTAAAAACCACAAAAGAAATATGTATCTGTTTTAAAAAATTATTTAAAAAATTAATTTGGGTCAATGTTGCATAACTGAGTAATTGTCATTCAAAGTGTGACAGCACTGAAATATGAGCATTGGCCTGGGCAGACACATTGCAAAGTTACAAGAAAAGAGTAGGTGTGTGTGTGACCTCAGGTACCTGACAAGCTGTAGACATTCTTGCATGAACAACAGACTAAATAGAGCTAGAACTAGTATATACGAGGATGATGGACAGACCACCATGATACTCCTCCAAGATCTTCTCTTTTTTTTTTTTTTTTTCCACAGTCATAATATAATATGATCCTCATAACCATAAGCATGAAAATATATATAAATGTACAATGTAGCAAAAGATCAGTGAAACTGTTTGAGTGGTAGGAACATTTACAACACCCACCAGGTTCTCTAAGCTTGCTATCCAGGTTGAAGTTCAGTTTCTTAAAGTGGAACACAATCTCTCACCATGCTTATATGTGGTGGAGGGACTCTTAGATGCATGATACAAGGCATAGAATTGAGTTGAATCTGCATGACTGAGGAAGAAAAAAAAGGAAGCAGCAGGAAATTATAGAGGAAAACATATTTATAAAAAAAAACGAATATAATTACTTGGAGGGTTAAATAGTGATCAGTATACAAATTCAACACAATTTAACATAAAGTGTATTATATATTGTAATATAATAACACAAAGTTTTACATAATAATAATATAATAAAAACATAATATTTCACCTATTAAGTCTTACATCATATTTAAAACCCAAAAGGGCCACAAGATGGCATTAAATGTCTACAATTACATTATAGAGAGGTATGTTTATTGTACTAACAATCAAAAGAGGGCACTAGGAAACCATTTATTATGTTCTAGGGCATGTCCTAATTATAACTATGCAAAAATTACAAAAACTGCAAAAACTATACAACATTATAAGAAGATTGCATTATACTTAAGAAACGCTTATAAAATAGTGCTCACAAACAGCTCTTCATTCAATGAGAAGAAAAAAAAAAAATTATTATTATTTTTTATGATTATGTATTATATTTTAATTTATGATTTCGTATTGCACATTTTATCATACCCAGGATGTTTACTAGATTCTTGCTCGGACAGATTTCAGTGAGTTATTTCTTAAAATTACAGGCCTACAATAAAAAAAATACATATTTCCATGCAACAAAATGTACAGCTTTGAGCACAGAAATATGGACATAATCAGACCGCTAGAGAGGTTAAAAAAAATATTGAAAAAAAGACAAAAAAAAAAAGTGACAATTTGTTAAGTAGCATAAATATAGAACGGTCAGTTCTGTAATAGTATTTTCTCCCCTGTCAAACATAGAAGTATAATTAACTGTTAATGCAGTGGCTCAGTTTTAATTAAAAAAAAAGAATATGTAGTACATGTATACTGTATATACACTCACCGGCTACTTTATTAGGTACATCTGTTCAATTGCTTGATGTTGGGGTCTTAAACTCAGATTACAGAATGTGCATACATTTGTTAAATCATAATTAGGTTTTGCTGTTGAATTATTTGTAAGATTCAAAATAAATCTTTATACTACATTCTGTGCCATATATAGAAAACAGAACCATTCATGCCTTAATGCCGCCATGCAAAGAATGTTCTCTATAGTAAGTAATCAGACAGCAGTGACAGGACATTGTACTGCAGTGCATTTGAAATGATATGTAAACTGGAAGTATATGGGGGTGCAGTAGGTGCCTGGGATCAGCAATCATCTTTGAACACATAAGTTATAGCTTGGGTTCTAGTGCTGATCTTGTAGCTTTACTCTTCCTGCCCACCAACAGCTCCAGTGGAGTTCCTAGTACTAATACCCTCTATAATTTCTTTCTTATTAAATACATTACCAATTTTGATGGTTCATATTTCTGAAATTATTTTAAAGAATTGTTTGTTAAAATATGCTCGGTTTGAAATTCAGCAAGTCATCTTCACAACGTCTAGATGCCTAAATGCAGTGTGTTGCTGCTATGCGATTGGTTGATTAGCATTTTGTGTTACCAAGCAATTTAACAGATGTACCTAATAAAGTGGCCGGTGAAGGTATAAACAGTATACATGTAGTGCATATTCTTTTTTTGAATTAAAACTTGGCCAAATTTGTTTAGTGTTACTGTGCAACTATGTCACTGTTATTGTATTGATTCTATTGTAATACATTTCTAACATATGCATGTGTAACATGTTAGTCTTGATTTTATTATACTGTTTCTCCTTTCTTTTCAGACATTGCCATGGGACCTGTGGACGGTAAGATTTCCCTTTACTCTTTATAACGTTTTGTATGCTGTGATAATTAAAGGTACACATCATTTAAATGTTCACATTTTGGATTTTAAGAAATGTAGGGGCAACTGCTTGCCCATCTATCTAAAAACCCAGTATTATTCTTCCAACAGTAATGGATAATTTTGGCAAAGTAGCTGCATGTTCATAGCTTAGAGACTCCTTGAACAGGATCAGGTGAGAATGCAGCAGAATAGTTTTTTTTTTTTACTGTGACTGTGGAAACAGTCTACAACCCCTTAGCTGCCACCTTCATTCTTACACCATTCTAACATGTATAGATTCATTGACCCAGATCATAATCAGTTCCATGATCAGTGACTCATTAGGGTTGATTTACCAAAGGAAAATAGACCATTTACTTTGCAAGCCAAGTTACACTTTTTAAGGGAATTTTCCACAGTGCTTACTGAATGAAGTGAAACTCTGCTAACTTTTCTCATCCAACATGTGCAAGCAAAATGCAGGTTTTGTATTTTTTTTTATATGCCTTTTCCAGGCATATAAGGGGTATTCTTCGCAATTTGAAATTCCACAACATTAACTGAGCTCTGGGAAAAATTCTCTTGCAAAGTGCATTTTCCCTTACAACGTGAACAATCTCTTTGCCTTTAGTAGATCTACCCCACTGAGTAATAAACCAGTGATAAGGATGACAGACTCTATATTGACAGCTACAAAACAATTAAGGAATAGTAGCTGTCTTATATCTACCTGGGTAAGTTCTTCTTAAAGCATATCTAATCCTAAGAACTGAAAATAAATATATTGCAAATGGCCAGTCTTAAAATGTGTTGACTGCATTAGTTTTCTTCTCTCAGGGTATGTACATTTTCTGCATGTTGACCCTGTCAGAAATTCAGTATCTTTGAACCTTCCTGTGTACTTCGCTTAAATATCAAACAATTTCTCAGCTATCTTCTGTGAACTACAAAGCAACACCTATTTTTGTATTGGGGATGAAGAGATGCGGAAGGTGTTTGTAGTACAAATATAGAGAGAAGCCCAGGGTGACAATGCTGATCTTCCTTAGATACAATGCAGTGAGTGTGCAGTTGTCACCCTGCAATAGGAAGTGTTTTATTGAACAGGGAAATCTGAGGCTGCAATCATTCCAAATGCTACATATAAACAAGATGATACCCTCTAAGTATCAGTACTATAGTGCAGAAAAATGTCCAGAGAGAGCCTTGTAGTATATAGTAAACATATTGGTTTATTACAAAATCATATAAAAACATTATATAAAACTGACAATACATATCTTTGAAGAAGGGACCAAATGGAGGAGGATACATATTCATATTGTACAAATCAACAGAACCTAGAGCATGGAAGGCAACACCTGGCGTGTTTCTCATTTGCCACATAATTGCCCAATTAATAGTCACATAGTCTGGCTGAAAAAAGACAAAAGTCCATCCAGTTCAACTATTAAAAAAAAAAAAAAAAGTTATAATCCTACACCCACAGTTGATCCAGAGGAAGGCAAAAAAAAACCCAGCAAAGCATGATCCAATTTGCTCCTGCAGGGGAAAAAGTTCCTTCCTGATCCCCTGAGAGGCAATCGGATATTCCCTGGATCAACTTTACCTATAAATGTTAGTATCCAGTTATATTCTGTGTATCTAAGAAAAAATCCAGGCCTTTTTTAAAGCAATCCACTGAGCTGGCCAGAACCAACTCTTGAGGGAGTCTATTCCACATTTTCACAGATCTTACTGTGAAGAAACATTTCAGTATTTGGAAATCAAAAATGTTTTCTTCCAGACGTTTCAAAACTAAATATCACTGCTTCAAGGGTGCACACTTTCTGGTACAGGATTTTTCTGTAATGTGAGAATAACACACATAGAATAATCATAATACATATATTTAAAGTCAATAATCCAATATTGTTAAGGGCAGCTCACACTGACCTGATTCAAGGTCACCAGGAATAAAAATAAATATATATGAATGAAATGCTGTCACCATGGGATGCCGCTAGTGAGAGTATCCTCCAATACCAAGACATCTGCAACCACTGGGGTCACCAACAGAGAGGGTGGGGACACCAAAGGTGCAATGACCCCAGTGGTTGCAGATGTCTTGGATTAGGGGATACTCTACATGGCGGCACCCCATGGTAGCAGCATTTCACTCATATATATGTATTTTTATTCCTGGCGACCTTCTGTAATTTTGTGGAGACCTTGAATCAGGTCAGTGTGAGCTGCCTTTAACAATATCAGATTATTAACTTTAAGTATATGTATTATGATTATTATTTGTAGTATTATGTGTGTTATCCTCACATTACTGAAAAAATCCTGAACCAGGAAGCGTCCACCCCTGAAGAAGAGATAAAGAGAGATTTCTTCTTGAAACACGTCAGATGTTGCTTCATGCCTTCCATGCTCTAGGCTCTGTTGATTTGTACAATATGAATGTGTATATAATTTGTAATAAACTATATTTTATTACTATATACTACAATGCTCACTGTATATTATTGGCAGGATTAACAGGTTGAATATAAAGCAAAAGAAGAGTAAAACAAATGCAGCCACCACATCTAAGGAATGTTATAATATATAGTATTTTGTGTTTCAGGATTTGGGTACTTTAAGGAGTTCAAACATTTGGGTCTTTACAGAGATTTTGTAGAGTTATGAAATGATCAAAACCTCTTATTTATTCACAAGGATTAAGAATTATTGATCACATTTGAAAATTGTTATTACCCTTACATTATATTTTTACATTGTATAGACTAAGTGAATTTCTAACAAAATATTTTTTTGGACATGTCCAAAATCTCATAGTTAAATTTACAATGGGGTTGATTTACTAAAGGCAAATAGACTGTTTGCTTTGTAAGTGCAGTTGCACTCTGCAAGGAACTTTGCTCCAGAGCTTAGTAAATGAGGTGAAGCTTCACTTTGCAAAGAATACCCAATGACATGCAAGTATACAAAAACAAGCAACGTTTTGTCTTGCACGTGACTGGATGATGGCAGTCAGCAGAGCTATCCCTCATTTACTAAGCCATGGAGAAAAATCCCCCTTGCACTCTTTAGTAAAACCCCATTGTGTTTGAAACCTTTCAAGATGTTTCTAAGCTGCGTTGATAGTAGACAAATGTGGACATACCATACCGTAACACAACAGTAACATAACAGAACTGAAAAAAATAACTTACAGAGATTTGTTTTGGTCATTTAAAGTTTATAAATTGATGGTTTATTTACTTTTTCATAATTTATAACATATATGTTTCAAATAAACATTTGATACAGGGTGTTTTCAATGTATTCTGTTTATATAGCATATGATTTTAAGCAGTAAAAAACAAATTACACACATTGTTTATATTTATGTGTATTTTGTAGCCCTAAACATTATACATACATATAGATAACACAGGCAGAAACATTGAACATACCCCATTACAATATGTGAATGTAATATTAAACACAATATATGTATGTAGCAATGAAGTTTTAATGTTGCTGCTTTCTGTATCTGCAGACAAACAATGAACTAGTCCAGCCAGTAAGTATGTCGCACAACATACGTGGATATAAAATATATTATCTATGTTACCGTTACCCTGTTTTTCCCATACATCCAAATTCTGTTACTTTATGTTATTTAATTATGCATTTCTATACTTTTTCATTATTGCCATAATGTTCTCATTTTTTTCTCATTCTCCTTTTTTGTCTGCATAAAGCCTGACTCCTCAAAAAGTCTGTCATTATGTAATTTGAGCTTAACAGAGACCCAATTTTTTGGGTCTGGAGAAGAATTACATACACCAGAAAATGATATAGATCTTGATAGACTAGGCCTTGAGAGTAATATAGACAGGCAGGATGAAAATGAAAATGCAGATGTTTCCTGGGATGGGCAGACAGACCTTGTTTGTCAACAAGATGTCCTCTCATCAGAGATAAGTGAAGAGAATGTGGAGGAAGTGGAAGAGGAAAAATCTATAAAAGAAATGTCAAATAGTGACATGGTATTGATGAGTGATGATAGTGTATTTGAAGATACCCAGTACAAACAAGAAGACAGGGACACTGAAAATGAAAATATGACAAAAACACATCTTGATGTGAGTGAAAATGACTTGACAGAAGACATGAATATTTCTGATGTGGATTTAGAAGATATTTCTAATGCAGTCGAAACAGAGGAGGCTGAACATCTACATTATTTTATATCTCATGGAGAAACCATTAACGACATTGAGAACATGGATGCAGATGTCCAAGATGATGAGGAGCAAAAGAGATTTACATCACCAGACACCAGTACAGAAGATGCAATTGATGTAGGTTTATTGGGATGTGACAGTCAAATAGATACATTGGTTGATGAGCACCAAACATACCAAACAGAAACAAATAAAACAGAATATTTGGCGGATGCTGAAAGTTTTGTTGAAGAGTATATTAGTGAAACAGAAAGCTTAAATGACTCCATTGTAAAAAAAGAAGTATATATTGAACAAACTAGGGCAGAACCCACTGAAGTCTTCAACACCATGATTCAAGAATCAGGTGACAAAATAAATATACACAAAAGTGACCTTTTTTGTGATAACACAAATAACCATCTAATAGATCAGGAAGGAGATGCAGTAGCTAAAGGAGATGTAATTTTATCAGACACTGGATTTAAGGGTTGTCTTGACATAGACAGTGACAAGATATGGCCAGAAAATTGGGATCCAAGCTGTACTACAGATTCATGGGGTGAGTCTTATCTAAGAGACTGCCAAACACATGAATTTTCGATCCCAGATCTAAATTCGGCATATATGAATGAGGTCTGGTTTTCACAAGCCACTAATAATTTTGATAAAAGTGAACAGACATTGGCTGAAAATGAAAACAAGACAAAAAGTATGTCCTTGAACGAGCCTTGCTGCAATTATCATGAAACAAATTCTAGTCCCCAAACCATGTTTTGCATAATAAACTCCAGAAATGTTAGCATTGAGCGTCCTTCTAGTCCCAGGGAAAATGAGGCCAACAACTCAGATTTATCAGAAGATGAAATTGCTAACCGAAGATATGGATTTCTCTTCCAGGATCTAGACCATGATAAAGAAGAGGTATCTCTGCTTTCCCCAGTGTGTAGATTACTAGAGATAAACATCCTTCATGGTACTGGACCCTATGCTTTATACCCTTTTTACGATTACCCACCTTTGTAGCTAATTGCAGTTCTTCCCTTTAGAATAAAAATAGATTTTGAGTAAACATAACACAAGTGGACTTATTTCATAAAGGTACAAAGTGATGTGTAGTCACAATGACAAATTAGTTTTGATTTTCCTGGCCTATTACTAAAAACCATAGATTACGCACATCTGAGAATTTTGTTTCAGTATTCAATGCATACAAATTTATCACATACAGTATATATGTTTGAGTTATTGACAAAACACTACATTCAGTAAATACTCTTAAATTATTGAAAAGGAAATGTGTACATGGGGCCTAAGTCTCTGTAGATATACAGTATGGCATATAGTGATTGTTCCCAAAGCATTATTCCAATGACAATGGAACAGGAGTAGTAAAGGTTGTAACTGTAAACAGAACCATGAAAAGCCTTAGCTGTTGTCATCCTGCCCCCCCCCCTCCTGTTCCTTTTAGCAATGAGTCATATCAAATCTAACATCAGTACCCATAGGGACATTAAGTTGCTTATAAATATTTTCTGTAATTCCTTCTTTTTTCTTTTAAACTTAAACGGCTTTCTTTTTATTTTTGTTATGTCTCTAAAACAATTCCATAATTTCAGCTTTAGCTATAAATATCATATGTTTTAACAAATTAGTCAGTTTTACCTGTAACTTCTAGATCTAACAAATGAAAAACAAAAAGCAGTGGACTTCTCCGAATGGTAATAGAAGAGAAAGAAATTTCTTTTAAGTTAGGATAGATGTCCATTTTTAGAAAGAAGTTACCTTTTATATTAAAAAGAAAATTTGAAGCTATATAGATTATGTGATCACCTGCAGTTCTTCGTTGAGTCTTCATGCAGACTTTAACATTCGTAATTCCAAATGCATTCCTCTTTAGAACCTTTAGATATAGAATCTGCTTGTGACCATACATAAATCACATCCTCTCTCCTTGTACTTCGTCATGATACTTCATCATCAGTGACAATTTTAAATGTTAATGTTGTACTTTTCTGTTTCTTGCAGGCATCCAGTGGTGCTTTTAATGGACTGACACAGGTAAAACCCATTTCCAGAATATGTAAACTATTTTTCAGTCACTGTTCAGAATACCATACATTAAAAGAATAATGCATCAACAAGGATACAAGGTACACTCCAGTATCATATAAACAATTAAGTAATTAAACTACAAAAAAGGATCCTAAAATTGTTTTAATTTGAGTTTTTGCAAATTTCAGATTCCTACCTGCTTCTGGTGTAGAAGTATCTCAAACTCACAGTTAATGTGGTCCTTTACAGTGATTGTTTCATCACCATTAAACCTAGGTTCACATATATGTGATTGTGGAAATAGCGATCCCTTCGCATTTCCCGCATTGCAATCGCACTGTGTTTAGCGATCTGCAATACAAAGTTAATGACACCCCCAAACGCAGTGCATTTGCCTGTTCCGGATTGCATGGTTTAAAACAACCACACAATCTGGTTGCAGTGTGGCTCAAAAAAAGCCCAAAATGAATGGGCTCAAATCGCACTGAATCACATGTGAATTGCTCATGAATCAGTGTGTTTCCTTAGCGATTCACGTGCAAACTGTAATGGAACCGGGGCTCAATGTTTGGTGAACATCCCCTTTATGATTTATAAATATACCCCTAGATATAGTTATAAATATACCCCCACACAAATATACTGTTTGATATGCTTTAAAGCACAACTCCATTTTTTAAATGCTGTTATTTTTTTCGTGTTGTTTGCATGTATTTTTTAAACTGTAAAAGAAAAGTATAAAACACCTACTGAAGCATTAGTCGTTGCACTAAATATTAAATCTCGTGTTACTTAGCAACAGGGTGAAATAATGTAACAGGTACAAAGAAAGTGATAAATAAATAATGTGATATTTGTTCTTTGTGATCAGTTGTACTGTAAGACATGATGTTATGCTGGTTAAGAATTAAAAAGGGAAGAGTGCAACCCCTACTGTAAGTTAAAAGGATTTTTAAGGCTTATGAAGAGATCAGTGGCTGCATAAAATCCATTCTCATTGGTTGTCACTGTTGAAATTGATTGTCATTATGGCACATAACCGCTTATTAGCTGAGCCTATTGTGTCATACAGCTTATATATACAAGGCATACATTTAAGTGTATGATAATAGAATACTTTTATTTGTATATTATGTTTAACACCAGCAAAAATACTGCTGTTTTCAACCACATATGTTCCATTTTATTTTTGTGTGGAATTCCACAAATTCATAAATCCAAACCTACAAACAAAGGTAGTTTAATAATTTATTATGATAAAGATGATTTTATTGTAAGGATAATAGATACCACTCATTCTGATGTGAACAGACATGAATTCTCATTATAGATCATGGTTTTTATTGTTCTTTCCAAATCTCATCAACCCTAGGGGAACAAATATGAGAAAAAGACAGCATCAACTGCATACAGATTTTTTTTTATAACTTCTGCCACTTAAGCCTCTTTAATATACTGCTATTATAAGATATATTACTTTTTTATTACATTGAACCACCTAGGTTTTTTATTACTCACATATTTCTCAATATGTATTTATATTTTTAGCCTGATGCTTCCACATCTGTCTTCGAAATACAGACAGAACCAACTGGTGAAGTGACGGTAAGCCTTTTGTTATTGTGAAAAAAAACGTATGGTGCTTATATCAATAACATGCAAAATGTATTCAATCTTTTCAAATTTCTCTGGGTTTTTATATGTATATATAGTGTAGAGATGGGCCACCATACTTGCCTGCAGGGATAGTGAGCTGGGTGACATCCATGAAAAAAAAAGTACATATAATATAAAACAGGCAGTAGGTGCAATCAATGCTGACACTGATTTTATATATTATTATTATTATTATACAGTATTTATATAGCGCTAAAAGGTTTGCTCAGCGCTGTACATTATAGTGGGGGACAGTACATGATACAATACAGTAACAATACAATACAGGAGGGGGTCAAGGGCCCTGCTCTTTTGAGCTTACAATCTAGGAGGGAGGGGATAGTGGTACAGGAGGAAGTGGCTGTGGGGGATGGAGTGGTAGGAAGAGATCGGCTGTTAGGTGAGGGCGGGGTAGGCTTCCCTGAAGAGATGGGTTTTCAGGGTGCGCCTAAAAGTGAGGAGGGTAGGTGACAGTCTGATGGATTGGGGTAGTGAGTTCCAGAGGATGTGGGAAGTCCTGGAGAAGTCCTGTAGTCGGGCGTGGGAGGTAGAGACCAGGGAGCTAGAAAGTAGGAGGTCTTGTGAGGAGCGAAGAGTACGGGTTGGGTGGTATTTGGGTATCAGGTCGGTGAGGTAGTTTGGGGCAGCGTTATGAATGGTTTTGTATGTCTGTGTTAGTAGTTTGAATTTAATGCGTTGAGAAATCGGGAGCCAGTGGAGGGAATGACAGAGTGGGGTGGCAGATGCGGAGCGGTTGGTAAGGTGGATGAGTCTAGCCACTGAGTTCAAGATAGACTGAAGCGGGGATAGTCTGCGACTAGGTAGGCCGGTGAGAAGGGAGTTGCAGTAGTCCAGACGTGAGATAATAGGTGAGTGAACGAGTAGTTTAGTAGTGTCTGGGGTTAGGAACAAACGTATTTTGGAGATGTTGCGGAGGTGGAGCCTGCATGAGTTTGCCAACGATTGGACATGGGGTTGGAAGGACAGGTTTGAGTCTAGAGTGACACCTAGGACTTTGGCTTGTGGGGTGGGACTGATGGTGGCGTTGTTGGTCATGATGGAGAGGGTGGGGGGGAGGAGGGCACGAGCTGGGGGGAAAATCAGGAGCTCGGTTTTGGAAAGGTTCAATTTGAGAAAATGGAGCGACATCCAGTCTGATATGTCGTTCAGTAGGTGGGTGATACGGTCGGAGACTGAAGGGGTGAGGCGAGGGGTGGAGAGGTAAATTTGCGTGTCATCGGCGTAGAGGTGATAGTTGAAGCCGTGGGAATGTATCAGTTTGCCTAGGGAGGAGGTGTAGATGGAGAAGAGAAGGGGCCCGAGGACCGAGCCTTGGGGACCCCCCAACAGAGAGGGGGGAGGGGTGGTAGCGTTATAGGTAACGCTGAAGGAGCGTTGGGATAGATAGGAGGAGAGCCAGGAGAGAGCAGAGTCTCTGATGCCGAGGGAGTATAGTTTGTTAAGGAGGAGGGGGGGGTGGTCGACTGTGTCGAAGGCCGCGGAAAGGTCGAGGAGTAAGAGGACTGAGTAGTGGCCATTAGCTTTGGCGGTTAGCAGGTCATTAGTGATTTTGAGTAGGGAGGTTTCAGTGGAGTGTAGGGGATGGAAGCCAGACTGTAGTAGATCGAGGAGGTTGTTGTCAGTGAGGTGGGCGCATAGGCGATTGTAGACTAAGCGCTCAAGGAGCTTGGAAGTAAATGGTAGCAGGAGATGGGTCTAAGGTTGTTCAGTCGGTGGGGTCCAGGGAGGGTTTTTTGAGTATGGGGGTGATGTGCGCGTGCTTTAGGGGGGAGGGGAATGCACCAGTAGAGAGAGAGAGATTGAAGATGTGGGTGAGGGAGCGTAGGATGGAAGAGGAGGGTGATCGGAGGAGCTGTGTGGGAACAGGGTCAAGGGGGCAAGTGGTGAGGCGGGCTTCTGAGAAGACCTTAGTGACCTCCTCAGTGGTAGCAAGGCTGAAGGAGCGGAGTGTTGGGGAGGTTATAGTGTGCGGGATGTTAGGTGTGGTGGGAGGTAGGGCGGTTGCGAGGTCAGAGGAGGGGAGAGTTGGTGGGGTTATGGTGGGAGGGAGGCTAGGTGGGAAGGTAGGTTGAGCATTGGCAATGTCCTTACGGATTGCGTCGATCTTATTTTGGAAGTTATTGGCAATCTCGTGGGCATATATATACATATTATAAAACTAAACTCTGCACAAGGCATTCCCTAGATCATTGTAGGTACAGAATCACCCATTTAAGTTTTAGTCCAAAAAAACACAAAAAACTGGGGATAAGCATATTGTTAATTTGTATATATGTATGCTCCTCCTGGACTGTACTGAGAAGTTCAGGTAAGGCTTTAGTCCTACTACCTTGAATAATAACATGTCTGAATTTGTTTATTGGCCACAAAAACACAAACATCAGGAAAGGTAAGGGTATAAGTTTTTTATTGATAAAACTACATACTTCGTTACTTGAGACCTGGATTGGGGGAAAGCAAAAATGGGAAACTTAGATGTCCCAATTACAAGGGGAAACATATATGGAAATAAACAGGCAAGAACTCTGCTAATGGTACTGAAACCTAAATGATATATATAAAAAAAATAAAAGAACATAGACATACAGTATGATTTAATGAATTACTTTATGCAACAATATAAAAGCCAAGATAATTAAAATTCATCTAAAGGAAACTTTTTAAAAGTTTTAGATGAATTATGGAAGGGTTGGAACATGTGTCAGGTTTCTGTTTCTGTCTATGTCATTGACATGGAGGTTGACCCTTTGTCCTGATGATTATTGGCACCGAATGAAAATGAGGAAAAATATAAATTTTAGGTGAAACAGGAATAGAGGTGACATCTTCCAATGTGGACATTTGTTCAGGTAGCAACTAAGAGCGGATTTACCTTTTAGTTGCTTCTCATTTCCTGGTGTATCTACAGGACAGGAAGAGATTGGAAACCTCTGGAATGAGACACAATTGAAAAAAAAAGTGACAGTTGTTTTAGCCCCCATATCCCCATATGCAAAAGATAATAAACATTTTACTCTATAAACTTTAATAACCCTTTCAACTGTATTGGTCTTTACAGCACATTTCTCTATTTTGCTGAGTTCATGTTCACATATTGGATTGTTTCAACAGAAATGTGAAAAGTGGTCCACTGTGCTTTGGATAAAATGTAAAATGTTGTGAAGTATGGTTAACATGTGTACTTTAGTTACACTGGTCCTAATACTCCTTTACTTGCTTTTATTTTAACACTATTGCTCATGAGCTTGCTTACACAGTAAGATATAACAGACCCTGATGTTAAAAGTATTTACAGTAGGTTAAGTCACCTGACAATTGTAGAAAACCTTTGAAAAGCAGCTTGAGTTATTTTATGTTGGAATCACCAAGCAGATTCAAGAATTGTTTACAAATACAATATTAATAGAATCTAATTTAGTTAGTAAATATTTTGCATTGTGGCAAATCAAGGTGGAGCCTGATGTAGCTGTCCCCAGTGAAACCAGTGCTGAGGACACACAACCTGCCCCTGATGTTCTTGATGAAAGCGCTAAAGTTGAGGAGCAAAATGAGCAAGCAGAGAAGACAGTGGTGAGTTTGAAGAAACATCAGCTCATTTGCTCCATCAACTCGTACTCCATTCCATCACATTTCATCATGCTAAAAGTTAAATTAGGTTTGAAACACACATTTTTGATATATCATCAATAAATCCATCCTTCATCTCATAATCATTTTCATACAAGTCTAACATCCTATAAAATGGTATTATCTGACATGGTTATTACACTGTATCCTGCCTGTAAAGGAAAATATTGAACCTGAAGAAACCAAGACAGCTGAAGAAGCTGAGACAGAGGGCAGCAAGGTAGGTGACTGCCCTGTTTATTGAGAATCCAGATGAATTTATATTTTCTCATATTCAGTTTAAATGCTTTGTTGTTGTTTTTTGTTCACTATTTTGAGTTAAATACAATATCTATTTTTATAATTTTATATTTTTAATTCCATATATCTGTGCATCTTTTTTAGTTTAAAGGTAGAGATAACTATTAGCACAGTAGTAATCCAGGAAATTTACTAATGTATTCCTTTTTTAGGAATTAGACTCTATAGCTATGAGTCCAGAATCTTGATTTGCATATTTCAGTAAATGGTCCAGTAAAGGAAATGTAATGGCTGCTATATTCTTTTGTGTTGCAAATTAACTTTATTTGTAACATAGTGATATCCTTGTGAGTTCTCAAAGGTTCTCATTGTATAGCAATGTCATTTTAGGGCACAACAGATTAGTTTGTTTCCCCAGGACAAGGTGATGTACATAAAAAGGGTATTTGTAGTTCTACTAAGGCACTGTGGTGGAAAAGGAAGGCCTCTGTTCTCAAAGAGATGATTTTAAAGTCAACCTGTGTTTTGCCCACGCATATACTCCCCATCCTCTCACTCCCCTGTACTCCTTTTAGCTTGTGTGAGCAAAGGAAGATCCCATGTGAGCTGTAGGTCACCAGTCTTACATTGGGATAAGGACTCTCAGTGATCCAGCACTGACTGCCCGAGCAGTGTCACATGAGGTGAGGTCACACCTCCGCACCAAGAAGTACTGGATATTTTCTACAGCTCTTGGCATTGAATGGAATGGCAAAGGATTGAGGAGAGGGTATGTATATGCTAAGGATATAAGGGAGGAATCAAATCGGGTGCTTTGCCATAGTAAAAAAATTAAAAGTTTCATTTGGAGTTGTTCTGGTGGAAAAGCTGATACATTTACAGATATGAGGCCAAATATACCTGCAATAAGGCAAGATGATCAGTGTATATAGAAACATATGCACTGATATTTAATTTAATTTGGTTAATTAAGCTGGGGAAATAGCATGTGCTTGTCTTAATAATAAGAATCTGCAATTTGATTAGGTAAGAAGTCTCAGTATAATGTAACTAATGAAAAAACATGTTAGGGTTTAAAGAGCAGTTGAGTAAAAGCTGTGTCGCCATATATGTAGCTATTGCTGTCTGGGAGCTCTGCAGTAAGCCTAAGCTGCATTCTCTATTTACCTTTTCTTGACAATGCAGGATCCTTCTGTGTCTAGGAACTGTCTCATAACACATGTTGAGGTTGATGGTACTTTTTTCTAAACACAAGATTTAAATAAACTTTAAACTGTTAACTTGAAGGAATAAACTTTATTACGACCGAAATAGGGGGCTGTCATTCCTGACCTACTTTCGAAAATGCTATTTAACTAGCTTCTTATGTTTGCCCTTTAGAATTAGTGCTTTGAGTCATTGACCCAGAAAAAGTATGCAGATCAAAAAGTTAGAAAAATGTTATAAGTTCTTCTGTGCATTCTACTTTACATCCATTGACCCAAGTCCTATGGCACTTTATATTTAAAGCACATTTAAAAACCTTAAGATAGGTGGGTAGAAATATTTGGAAAATAACCCAGAAGATTGTAGTTATATACTAAATACATAAATTACCCTTTTTTAGATGGAACCCGAATGTGAAGAAGTAACTGATGAACCTGTACAGAATACAGAAGAAGAAACAACAGAAGCAGAACTGGATGGTGCTAAAGATGCTAAAGATGTTGAAGCTACTCCGGTATGGCACTTTTGTAAAACTATATCCATTTTATTTACTGAATTATACATTTTTGTGTTTCAGTACATTTTTGTGAAGATGTTCAATAACAAAAACAAAATGGTTTGGAGGAAAAGTTGAACATTTAATGTACAAGTTGAACATCTGTATGAATGATAATGCACAATAGTTTAGAACATTTAACAACCATGTACCATTAACTACAGAATCCATGTAAAATATTTCTATTTTGCGATAAAGAACAATTAATCATTAGCAGTAATTATCAATGAGGATATGTGCAATGTATAAAGGAACTGCACTGGCAAATTGCAGTGCCTATTGTCTGTGTAACTGAAAAGAGTAGAACAAGTTATACTGAAATATTAAAGCTGATGTAAACCAAAACTGAATAATAAAAAAACAAAACTGTATAGTAGAGTGTATAGTAGCAGTGGCGTCCCGAGGCAGGTGCGGGGAGTTCAGCCTACACCGGGTGACGCCGACCGCACGGGGTGACACCGGACCCGCTCGACGAAAAGGTAAGTTGTAAAGCAAGCCAACGATCCCCGCAGGATGGATCCGATCCATCCTGCGGGAACCGTCAGCTTTCTTTACAATTTACCTTTTCTTAGAGCGGGTCCGGTGTCACATCGTATAGATTGCATGCCGGCGATCCCCGCATCATGCGGGGATCGTCGGCATGCAACCTATACGGGGTGACACCGGACCCGCTCCAAGAAAAGGTAAGTTGTAAAGAAAGCTGACAATCCCTGCAGGATGGATTGGATCTGCGGATTGAGCTTAATGGATCGGAGTCCGATCCATTGTGTTCAATCCGCAGATCCGATCCATTCTGAGGGGATCGTCGGAGGGGGTGTCACCAAGTGTTACCGCACCGGGTGACACCAACCCTAGGGACGCCTCTGTATAGTAGGCTATCTGCTATTAGGCTAATGAGTGTCCATTGGTATTTTAATAGCAAACACATTGTTAATTTGTCATTTTTTGTTAACATACTGTACTTGTCTAACGCTGTGGAGGTATAGTTTAAGCAGGTGCTCTATATTCTTCTTCTTATAATATTTTTATTTATCTTTCTAGCACCTAAAATAAAAGAGTGGCTTTATGGTAATAATAGTATATTATATTTGTTTTTGTTTTGTGACCGACACCAGGAAATTACCTGCATACCATCAGTTGTAATAGAACCAGCATCTAACCATGAAGATGAAGGTGAAGATGAAGATGTGGAGAATACCCATGTAAAAAATGCTGTAGAAGATAAAGATGAAATTGATGCCATCCCTGATACATCTGCTGTGCAAGCTCAGAGCATGGATGGAACTGATCAGCCTCCTTCATCGGGGAGCAGCACATCCCAAGATTTTCCAACTAACTTCGCATATAAGGTATTGTAATGCTATGTTGAGTATTTTTAATTAGGCATATGTTATGGATTCTAGGATCTCTTTTTGAAAGTTGTTTTTTCTGCAAAGTACAGTAACTAATCATGATTCAAAAAAAATTCATAACACCAAAGACAAATCAAGACATGCTTTTCTGTATTCTGTGGCATTACAATTTTGCCCAAGACATATTAACTTCAATTGAATGACCAATTTGGACATCAGGTTCTTCCCCCAAAATGTTTAGGTTTCAGTGGAGTCTCACAAGCTGACATAACATTTAAGGCCCCTTGGGAAAAATTATCATTCATTCCTAAATTATTTACAGCAATGTCACTTTGCTCTGCTCTATTTAGCCTTTATTCCTATAGAGGATCCAGCAAGGAAAGGGGGACAATAACAAATACGAAACATGAGCTTGTCAATTTTTTGAGAATTTCTTACCAGTGGTTCATTTAATGTACTCACATGCAGGTTGAAGCACTACATGATTTTGAAGCAGCAAATGAGGATGAACTCAACTTTAAGAGAGGAGACTCTGTTCTAGTAATCCATGCTACCACAGCAGCCGATCAGGTAATATAAACTTATATAATACAGTTGTATTAAATGGTTGAAAGTTGTATTGAAATGTTTGGCAAGGATATGAAAAAAGTTATATGAGCATGGTGTAGTTGTGCAGAGGTCCAGTAACTTTTCGTAAATAGCATGGCAAGTAGAGTTTGGTTTCAAAAAAGTGATTTCTAAGCAAAATAGAAAAAACATAAATCTCCTCATAGTAACTCTGCAGACTGAACTAATTTACAACAGTTCTCATAGAAAACTAGTATATCTTTATGGTCCTGCTTTAATAAAGAAATAAAAGAAAATATGAAACTGTACATTCTAGTCTGTTTTAGGTATAATCTCTCAATATCTTTACACAGAGGGTTCCAAGCAAATAACCAAGCCTTTAGTAGGTGCAATCTCTTAATGTCACTATGCAGAGGATCCCAACTAAGTAACCAAATTCCATATTCCTGAGAAAAAACATCCACTGATCCTATTGTAGCACTACCCCTGAAGCAGCCACTCAGTAGTTTGGGTTCTCTGTTCTGTGCCTCGACTACAAGAATAACCTCCGCCCTTCTGACACACCTGGTTGAATAAAAGTCACTTTAAGCAAGAACACAAGCATATATACAGTTGTGTCCAAAATTATTCAACCCCCACTGAAATTGAGTGTTTTGGCCAGTTTGACATTGCTTTTGATCATTCAGTCATCTTGCTTACATTTACATTAAAGAGGCACTTGTAGGTCAGACAAATATAACATAACAGTTATAATGAAATAACCACAAATGTCTTTTCTGTGCTCACAGCATTATCAGTTTTATTCAACCCCCAAGTGACATTCAATCTTAGTACTTAGTACAGCATCCTTTTACAGTTATAACAGCTTTTAAACGTGAAGCATAGCTTGACACAAGTGTGTCTTGCAGCGATCTACGGGTATCTTCGCCCATTCTTCATGGGCAAAGGCCTCCAGTTCAGTCACATTCTTAGGCTTGCGCACTGCAACTGCTTTCTTTAAGTCCCACCAGAGGTTCTCAATCGGATTTAAGTCTGGTGACTGCGATGGCCACTCCAAAATGTTCCAGCCTTTCCTCTGCAACCATGCTCTAGTGGACTTGGAGGTATGCTTGGGATCATTGTCCTGTTGAAAGGTCCAACGTCTCCCAAGCCTCAGGTGTGTGACGGACTGCATCACGTTTCCATCCAATATCTCCTGGTACTGAAGAGAATTCATGGTACCTTGCACACGCTGAAGCTTCCCTGTACCTGCAGAAGCAAAACAGCCCCAAAGCATGATTGACCCTCCACCATGCTTCACAGTAGGCAAGGTGTTCTTTTCATCATAGGCCTTGTTCTTCCTCCTCCAAACATAGCGTTGATCCATGGGCCCAAACAGTTCTAATTTTGTTTCATCAGTCCACAGAACACTATCCACAACTTTTGTGGTTTGTCCACATGGCTTTTGGCATACTGCAGTCGACTCTTCTTATTCTTTGGAGACAGCAAGGGGGTACGCCTGGGAGTTCTGGCACGGAGGCCTTCATTACGCAGTGTGCGTCTTATTGTCTGGGCTGAAACTTCTGTACCCACATCTGACAAATCTTTTCTCAGTTCCTCAGCAGTCACACGGGGACTTCTCTCCACTCTACGCTTCAGGTAGCGCACAGCAGTCGAAGTCAGCATCTTCTTTCTGCCACGACCAGGTAGCGTTTCAACAGTGCCCTTTGCCTTGAATTTGCGAATGATGCTTCCTAAGGTGTCTCTTGGTATGTTTAACATCTTTGCAATCTTCTTATAGCCATTGCCCTTCCTGTGAAGAGAAATCACCTCTTCTCTTGTCTTCCTGGACCATCTCTTGCCTTCACCATGTTTGTAACCACACCAGTAAATGTCTAGAAGGAGCTGAGTATCACAGTCATTTTAAAGCTGCCTAATTGGTGCTTATTATGCTTGATTGCTGCTCGGTGACATCCACAGGTGTTTTCAATACCTGATGGAAAGCACCTGTATGAACCTCTGTTCTTCAGAGTGGTAGTCTTTAAGGGGTTGAATAATTGTGGCAATGAAGAAACCACATAAGAACCATTTACTACTGTATTACATAAACAATTGATGTCATTTTAGTTGCATTTGGGTAGTTACAACGTCCTTGTAGGATTTGATTCTGAATACAATTCCAAATGTACACTATAGTCCCTAAACCCCTTTACAGCATTGGGGGTTGAATAATTTTGGACACAACTGTACCTTTAACTTGGCTGTAAATTAGTGCCAAGAAATAGACATGAAACTGTTTAGTGGCAAATGAATGTGTTGGTACAGATTAGAGTAATAATTGAGCATAAATGAGCATACAATAGTTAGCTACAGACACAGTCTGCAAGACAATGTAATCACTTGGCCAAAATAGCTTAGAATAGAGTTTGCAACACTAGTCTGGAATTAACTCATAAATCAGTAAAGTCATAAATAAACAGTGTGCATAAACATTAACAGCAGTGTGGGTAAGAATAATATAACTGGCTAGGGTATGATGCAGCAGGGGTGGACTGACAACTCATGGGGCCCCCGGGCAATAGGGGATCATGGGGCCCCTGTGTCCTTGCCCAAACTCAAAAAAGCCTATGAAAAAGGTACCAGGGGCATCTCATGGGGCCCCCTACTGACCCCAGGCCCTTGGGCCATGCCCGAGTTTCCAAATGGTCAGTCCGCCCCTGTGATTCAGAGTCCCCTGAGAGGTACCCCTTAAACTAAGCAATTGGCAAAGGTCTTTGTGTAGCAACTGTGAAGGGCAGTCTTTAGTCCTAACTCTTCATCCAGCTAGCATTGGGGCTACTAGATGGCTGTATGGTCAGTTCCTAAAGAGCTCGGTCTCTCTAGTAGCAGATAATAAATCCCCACAGCAGCAGCTCACCATTCCCAGTGATATTGCAGTTCACCACGAACCCCCAAAAATTCAGCACTCTGGACCCCATTCAGGCCACCAGTATGCTGCAGTAATGGTGCACATTGGACAGCAATGTGCACTTTCCGGTCTCCCCAATGGCAAGAGAAAGATGTGTCCTGTACAGCCAAGAAAATGAAGCTCTTTCCTCTCATCCTAGCAATCTCTCCCTGGAGAATATAGTTCAAAAACTCTTGATTACACAATAGAGCGGGGTAATGAATTAAAAATTCAAAGAGGTCCGGTCGCTAAAATTTTTTTCCAGCTGAGGTCCGAAGTTTATGTTTATGCTTTGACTCAGATAGGATGTAGTCATTGTATGTCTAACAAAAAATTTGAAATATTCAATTTCCATAGCATGTGAACAATATTTATATGTCAACAGTTTCATTTGTTTGTACATTCATGGAATACAAACAACTACCTTTAACAGAAACAACAAAACAACATGTAAGACAAATTTAAAAACTCTCTAATAAAATATACAAGCAGTCCAATCATATCCATCTTTAAGTAAAAGAAAATAGAAGCAACTTACATCAGTTGCCCCCATCAGAGCTTCCCTTTGCATCATGTTCCCATCAGAGTGTCACCTTAGATTGCTTGCCCTTATCAGAGTGCTCCCTTACATTAAGCAACCCCATCAAAGAGCAGCCTTTAATTAGGTGTCCCCATCAGAGTGTCCCCTTACATCAGGTGTCCCCATCAGAGTATCCCCTTAAATCAGGTGACCCCTTTAGAGTGCTGCCTTACATCAGGTCTTGCCATCAGAGTACCACCTTACATCAAGCGTCTCCATCAGAGAGCAGCCTTTAATTAGATGTCCCCATCAGAGTGCCCCCTTACATCAGGTTTCCTCATCAGAGTGCCCCCCTTACATCAGGTTTCCTCATCAGAGTGCCCCCTTACATCAGGTTTCCTCATCAGAGTGCCCCCTTACTTCAGATGTCTCCATCAGAGTACCCCCTTAGATTAGTTGTCCCCATTAGAGTGCTCCCTTACATGAAGTGACCCCCTCAGAGTTTCCCTTTAGATTAAATGTCCCCATCAGAGTACTCCCTTACATCAGTTGCCCCCATCAGAGCTCCCCCTTACATCAGGTGTCCCCATTAGAGTGCCACCTTACATCAGATGTTCCCATCAGAGTGCCACCTTAGATTACTTGCCCCCATATATCAGGTGTCACAATCAGGGGGCCCCCTTAGATTAGTTGTCCCCATCAGAGTGCCCCCATATGTCAGGGAGCACTCTGATGGGAACAAATAAACTAAGAGTGTACTCTGATGGGGACATATGATGCATCACAGTCAGGGTACCCTTTTAGATTAGTTGTCCCCATCAGAGTGCCCCTTTATATTAGGGGTCCCCATCAGAGCATTGATAGGGACACCTAATTTAAAGCAATTCTCTGATGGGGACAGCTAATGTAAAGGAGCACTCTGATGGGGACACCTGATGAAAGAGTGTACTCTGATGAGGATACCTAATTTAAGGCAGAGTACCCCCCTTACATCAAGTGTCGTGATCAGAGTGCCCCCTTAGATTAGTTGTCACTATCAGTGTGCCCCCATATATCAGGTGTCACCATCAGAGTGCCCCCCTTAGATTAGTTGTCCCCATCAGAGTGCCTCCATACAGCAAGTGTCCCTATTAGTGTGCCCTCATACATCAGGTGTCCCTATCAGAATGCTGCCTTAGACTAGTTGCTCTGATCAGTGTCTCCATACAGACCAGTAGAGCCCATCACTGTGCCCATTGTACCTGACTGATCTGTCCCTGTAGCGGAGCAGGCAGGGGGCAGGAGCTGGGAGGAGAAGCATGTTGTAAGGGGCAAGGTACACATGTGACGTCATTGGCTGCCTAGACGCCAGCCGTCCTAGCAACCAATGATGGATGAGGAGTGGGCATCCAACACTGCAGAATGGTGGGCTGATGGTCCGGACTGGCTGCAGTAGAGTCTCTCCTCAGGACTACAGTTCCCACAGTGCTTTGCTGCCTGAACCCTTCTTGCTCAGCAGCTCCCTCCTCTTTCTGAAATAGCTATTAAACAGTTCAGCACCACAGGGCACCAGCTACG